GTAAAGATGATTAAGAGAAAGATGCATGTCCCATTGTGGTTGAAATCCCGGATTTTTTAAAATCGCAAAAGTTTGATTTTTTGGCTTATTTCTACAATTAAAATATTGAAAATAGAGATTTATTTTTGTAATGAAATATATTTTTTAAAGACTGGTCTTGAAATAAGATCACGTACACTTAGTTCCGAAGTTTTGAATAATTTTGTGTGCAATAAAGGTTTTTTTAAAACAATTATATTCTCAAAAATTAATCAATTTCTTTCTTTAAATTTTAATTTCATCTGTATCAAAGGACGCTAAAAAATCACGATACTATTCTCATTATTCGGCAAACTCTCTGTGCATTTCCGAAAACTGCAAAAAATTAACATTTCAAAATTATAAAGCTGAAGATACATATTTTAGCCTTAAACAAAATCAATTCTTAAAAGCGGTAATGTACAACTGTTTGAAAAGACGAGAAGTTTTTGCATAGTGTCTGCTTAAAATTAATGCATTTTATAAAAAATCATTTTCTCAAAAATAACTGCAAATGTTTTTTAATTTTAACTTTTTGTTGTGATAACAGAGGAGAGGCTTAATAGAATGGCACAGGTCTCACTTTCGTCGAACTCTCCGAATTTTTGGAAATCGCAAATTTAGAAATAATGCCAGAAAGTAGGTGCTATTGTTGCACTAGTTTCTTGAATAGCTAACACCAAATCTCTTCAGAATTAAAACAAATAATTACAAGTCCAACTTTTTCTCTCGCTTCAAAATATACGCTACAAAGTAGTTTTGAATTTTGAGAAGGGAGAGCACCCCTCCACCTTCAACCCTTCATGTTTCACCTACCGCCCTCTACCCTCCTCCTTCCGCCCTTCACCCTCTATCCTCCACCCTCTTCTTTCCGCCCTCCACTCTTAACGCCTGAATCCTTTCCACTCTCGTACTTCACTCAACCACTTTCCACTCTCGCTCTTTGCCTCCGTCCTTCGATCCCACCTCACCCTACTATCTTCCGCCTCGCCACGCCCTCACCCTCCGCCCCCCTCCGCCCTGCTCGCTTCCCTCGCCGCAGAGAGCAAACACACGGAGTGAGAGCCACGCCGCCGCCGCGCCAGCGCCTCCGCGTCGCGTGTAATGGTCCGGAGGCCGCACAAAGGCGGTGTCATCGGGGACGAGACGCGATGACGAATATTACGGAAATGTGCGGCGTGGAGGGCTCCAGGGGCAGTTTCTTCCCCCTCCGCCGCCCATCCTCCCCCCCGCCCGCCTCCTTTGTGTGCTCTCCTTCTGCCTTCTTTCCCTCCTGCCCGATACCTTCCACGTATTTCTTAATGGCCCTTCCTCCTCTTCTTCCGCTAACGTTCCTTAACAACTCCACTCCCTTCTCTTTCACTGCGTTCTCTATTGTTTTCTCTCACGTACCTTACTTATTTTTCTATTTTACTATTTTCACCTTCCCACATTGTTGGATCGTCATATTTGCGCGTGTATATAGCGCGTCTTCTTACCTATCTTCCCCTCTGTCTTCTCTCCTTTGCGTTCAGCCCGCGTGTTACCGCTCGTGATGCCCATTTTCATCTCGATTAGCAATTCACTCTTTCGAATTAATCACATTCGTTCTCTTTATATTGGTATATTTTCACTACTTTTGTGTTTCACTACGATAGGCCTCTTCAATTCCTTGCTTTGCCCCCGCAGCCCCATTTGCGGACTCGCTCTTTTGTAATGGACGGCCTCACTCTCTCTTTCTCCCTCTCTTTACCCCTCTCCTTCTCCCTCTCTCTCTATCGCCGTCTGTTTGTCTCTCTCTCTGTCTCCCTCTCTGTCTGTCCTCCCGAGCGCTCCCCATCGCCCCTCTCCCTTCCGGTGCCCCCCCCCCAGTATCTCCCATTATTTATTTACCTTCGTTCTGTTTTCAAATGTTTATTCATTTGGCATTCATTGTTTTCATATTTTCTATTCAGAGTGGACAAACGAACACAATGTTACAATATTTGATCGAATGTTCTATTTTTTGCCGGCGCCTCTGCATTGTGATTCTAATAATACTTTACTGCGCGCGGAGCTTTTTTTTGTGTGTGAAATACGCGCTCAGGATATCCTGTCGCCCTGCGTTTGATGGGGAGAATAATCCACGAATCATATTTTTGCCGTAGTTTTGTTTTATCAACAAAAAAAAGACCGCGGCCAAATATGACAATTGTGCGTTTGCGAAGCCCGGAATGTCCAGACTCGCGCAACATGAGGGTTATTCATGGCCAGCGGCGCGGGACGGGGCGGCAGAGGGCGCGGGCGCGACGCACGACGCGGGCGCCGCCACAGATGGCGCTTCCTCCGCGCACGCCGATCGCGCCCTCTGGGGTGGAAGGGGGTGCGGAACGCCAGTTACCAATTCTAGGGACGGAAGGCCCGCAGGAGAGGCGGTGATAATTCCTTGTTGCCGAAAATAATCCCTTGCCTCATGTTAATAATCCCTTGTTGCCGAAAATTCATGAAATATCCTCAATTATAGGAAATGAGACATTTTCTATAATGGAGGAAATTTCATATATTTTCTATCCTTGTTGCCTCTGTTTCTACCCCTGTATTTCTACCATGCCCTGTTGCAAATTCTAGGGATGGAAGGCCCGCAGGAGAGTCGGCGATAATACCTTGTCGCAATAATCCCTTGTTGCCAATGAACATGTAGGGAGATATTTTCTATAATGGAGAAAATTTCACATGTTGTCTATCCTTGTTGCAAATTCCAGGGTTCGAAGGCTCGTGGTGGAGTCTATAAATCCTTGTTGCCAACGAGGTTACAGTGTGAAATTGTCAATAACGGACAAAATTTTCTGCTTTCTACCCTTATTGCATATTTAAGGGATAGAAAGCTGGTAAGATATTATAATAATCCCTTGATGTCAAAGAACATTTAGTGCGCAATTTTCTATTCAATTTCGTAATGCCCTTGAAACGAAATATTACACGTAAATAACTATATCACTCTTAAATTAAGTTACATGAAATATTTTTACTTTACTTTGGCAGGCATTGTATCATCTCTCTTCTTTCCTTGAGATTACTAATTTTCATAAGAGTTCTTTAACTTTCTTAAATTTTCTTTCTTAAGGGGGCTTTCTCGCATTACAATTAATTTTCTAAACACATTTTGCACTCTACTACTTGTTCTTCTATTTGCACTATTCTACTTATTCTACTATACCTGGAAGTAGTAAACCGGCTGCCTGGGGATGAGAGAGGCGGCTGTTGACGCGCGTGAATGCCGCCAAAGGCAGTCGGAACCAGAGTGTACAGGAGCCTTGTGCGCGCCGGCCTGAGGCGGAGAGAGCCAGGGCAGCAGCGGCGGCCCGCGTCGCTCTCGTAGTTTGCCGAAGGTCGCGGCCCCACGTTCGCGGTGACAGAGGTATTGTCGTATCGAAATACGGTTCATTGGTAGAAAGAGTCCAAAGACAAGCAATATTAGTATCGGGTGGTATACTATGTCGTGTTGGGTGTGGTTTTAGCAAGTGAACGAAATGAAAAGTTTCGCGACAAAAGGGTATGGGAGAGAATTGAATTTCCTGTGCTACAAGATCACTCCATATAATATCAGAAACGTACATGTCGGACGCAGAGAACGCCGTAGCCGAGTAACTATTAAATGTATGCAAAAACAAAAAAATCTCTGCATTTAGGCATAACTCGTGACATGCACCAGTTTCTAATTTTATCTATCGCATCTCTGACTCCATCTATGAAGCACTACCGAGCTCCACCTCTGCACGCCACGTGCGAGACTAAATTTAGCTACTGGAGCAAGCGAGGAGCGACTCCCGTACTTAATAGAATAGGCTTTTCTCCACAGAATTTGTAAATGCCTGTGTTTAGTTTCTGTTAGCTAAAAATGAAATTACATAAAATAAGTAGTTGCTACATGCTTAAAACTCATTGACTAACTGTCCGAAAAGACCTTCAATAGTATACTAGTTCTCTATTTGGATATTTGCTGCCTTTGAAACCCATAAACGCCAGCTATTATTTGAAAGGTCACATTTCGAACCAGTTTTTCGATTTAACTTCTCCTTGATGCCGATACTTTTCATGAAATTGCCGCCACAGGAACCAATGGGAAAGTTTGCAATGAGTCGTTAATATACAAAGTACCGTGTGCTCTCTCTGTAGATTCCCCTGAAAAAAATGTAAACACTCTTGCAAATCTTTTTTCAACTCTACGGAAGTAGTATAGAGTTCCCAGCTTCGACAAGACTGTTTTTGGGCATGATTTACTCAGTTTAGATTATGTATCTCGAAGACTTAAACGACAGATGGAACTATAGGTCTTGCGTCTATAAATTTCAAAATATTGCAATTATATTGTTTGGAAAATGCCGCTGAAACTCTTTGTTTAGTGAACATTTAATACATTTCTCATCTTGACATTGTAAACCCCTCTCTTAGTGTTCATTAGAAAATTTTTTAACATTGAAATAAAATGATGTATGCAATTTTTTACAAAAAATTACGTGCTCTCATATTAACAAATCATCCACTTTATTTAATGTGAATGTCAAATCTACTGTAAAAAATTAGTTAAATATAATTCGCATTATTAGCATGGTACTTTCATGTAAAAGTAAAATATTACTAATTGACATTTATAGCTAGTTTCCGTTTCTGTAATAGTTTGCAGTTCTTTTCAGAATTGGCGAGAACTAGAATAGTGAACATTGAATTTCAGGAGTATTAATTGCAAATATGAGCACAGAATTCGGTAATTGTAACCAACGTTCCAAGTGACACTGAGGTTAATCATTTTCCGCAGATTCATAAAACTAATAAATTGTATTTAGTTTCAGAATGACAGGAACATTGTTATATCTAAGGCGTTAGAGTATTTTGGAATTTACTCTTAGGGTCAGGAATATATTTTTACGGTCAGACCTTGCCATACTTTCTCGATCGGGATATTAATGCAACAAAATCACCCTGTTTTAAATCTAAATTCTCTATTTTACAATGATATTACACACCTTCGCCTTTCCACCTCAAAATTTATTACAAAGTTCAAATTCAATTAAGTTAATGACAAGATTCAAAACAACATCTTGCATTTTAAAACCATTCTCTTAAACTTGTTCTAAAAATAAAACTGGTGCACCAGGTATTTAAATATTAGAGTAGTTTCATATTTCTTAAAACATCTGCTTTCTTCAGTTATTACTACTAATACCTGCTTCGTACATTGAGTTTAATGACATATTCGCATTACTTTGTTGAAATGAAAAATTCTCTCACTTTCATTGCCACAAACTTTCGCATTAAAATTAAGAAAACAGTTTAGCATTTTGAAATCTGAAACCATTTTTACACAATGTTAAAATATTTGCTTAAGTCAATTTCTACATTTTAACTACATTCCCTCAGAATATCTTCACAGCATGATGGAAGCTCGTGCTGCAGTCACCAACTGAAACAAAAATTAGACAATGATCTGCATCACATGTAACTAAATTTCTTAACATTTTAAACCTATTCTAAAATGGTATTTCATACCCCGTATTATGTTTTATTCAATTAATAACTATGGAACACAACAGACTTGTCTTTGATATTATGAGGGTTAGTTCTGACACTATTTTGGGAACACTCAACAAGGAAACGATCAAACGCCATTTTCTCAAAACCGACTGCAATTTTTCTTCAAACATTTCGAACGGATAGTGCTAATTCCACACTTTAGTATTACGTAAAGTTCATTTTAGTGTAATTTATGTGTTTTCAAATATTACACAAATGTAAATTTTTTGAAAGATCTCTCACGCTGTTGGTATGCTCTTTGCCAGAAATTTGTAAACACTTCTTTGCGAGTTAAGGTACTTAAAATAACTTCAAATGGAATTTTTGGAAACAAAAATATTTATGTCAAAAAGATCTTCAAAATTTCGTGTGTACAGTAGCGTTTAAACGCCAGTTTTTTAAACGGCTCCAAATTTTTCAACGAAAATTGCCCTTGAGGACGAGGTTTTACTGTAGATTCACAATCGTTAAGTAATATTTTCGCTCTACAATTAGGAAACTGAAAAATTAAGAAAATGTCAAAAACGCACTGGCAAGAGAATGTGGCAAGTCCGAGTAGCTAGCCGAGACCAAGGAAAATGGAAAACTAATATCGGAAAGTCTGTGCCATTCTGTAGCACCACTAGTTTAGTTATTTAATGCTAGTGTTGAAAAATGCAATAATGCTGAAATGGGAATAAATTAGTGCTGAAAAATAAGCAGAATTAATATGAAATTCAGAGTAGAATTAAAGCTGAAAATAGTCAATTCTAGTACAATTATTATATATTGACCGGACTGTGTATTTGCCATTGTTATATTGCTTATTTATTAGGGGGTTCGATTACAATTTGTTGAAAAAAGTCTTAATTACATTACTTTTAATAGGTAGTTTTGCCAATTTTGCTCAGACTAATTTTGCCCCCAATGTGACGAAAAATTTGCACGTCATACGCAAGCTTATGATCCTATAAGGTAATAACTTTTCAATTTGTTAACATTCTTTCATTAATATGTAAAAATAAAGCTTTACAGATATTTCGAAAAAATCCCACTTGTCTAAGTGTTCTGTCCGCCATCAAAAAAGTTTCCCACACAAGGACGATTGAACGATGGGCAGCCCTTCTGTTTTCCTTTAGGTAGGAAGGCGTTTTCAAATTCTTCATTGTGTATTTTGAATTATCTTTTACGTTAGAAATAAAAATTTGCTGAAACGTCGCAAACAAATATGAAACCTAGTGAAAATACAAAATCGAATTGGAACACTTCGCTAATTCTTGACCTACCCACCCTGCCCTGTGAGCCTTTTAGGCGTGTCCCTAACCCGACAGTTGGGCATTGTGACCTTCCCTGTTTAACGACACATAGCTCACACTCCAGAGGGAGTCACCTGCCATTCACCTGCCATTCAAAATGCCAGGTGCAATGTCATCACGCAGCTCAGCAACTTTCCCCACCCAGCCAAGGTGCCTCAATTTCTCTACGTCGGAATGCGTGACATGCACAATAGTGGCAATCAAACAGGAATGGATCCCATAATATGGATAAAAAAACTGCCTTAATATTACAAACTAACCGGGCTCTGCAACCTCCTTTTTACATTTGCCCGTTCTAATTTAACAAGGTCATTTTATATACTAATAACATTTATACATCATTGCAATGAATATTTTATCTTGCAAAGAAAATAAAATGCAATCATCAATGACATTTAATATTAAATGATCTTAAATTTAAATTATAAATACCGAAAATTCTTTAACGTTGAAGGTATTGCTTAATAATTGTTATATGAATGTGGTTGACTCATTATTTTATCTTATTTTTACCCTATTCATTTATTTTTACCACAGCAATAAGTCTATGTAATTATTTATTTATTTAATAGGTAATTGTTACAGACAAATTAGCTTACTTGATCCTATGTGGTAGGCCGACGGCCTTTAAGCATTACAATACCTACATCCTATCGCGTTCTATCTTCGAATTCTGTATTCAGCCAAATGGTCTCTCCATTGCATCAAAGCCACGGAAAGAGACCATAAGTACGGCTCAGGAAAAAACCCCTGAAGGAGGAAAACTGCAGTCAGTACATTTTAATCAATCGACGTTTATTTTTGCTATTTTATTTTCTGGCGCGGGCGTCCCACCCGTCTCCTTCCAGTGCTTGGCCTCCTCAGCACCTGAAATCAAACAGCGCCACATGTAATTATCACATAGCACACTCCATCACATTAATCATTAAAACGATTAAAAAATTATTAAAATTTTATTTAAAACTTGTTTAACATTTCTTTAACAACGTTGCCAGTCACATTGTTTCGGACCTAACTTCAGGTTTCATTGTTCCTAGGTGAAGTACCCATTATGTTATTTATACAGTTCAATTATTACATTCCACATTTGGTTGCACTTCGTGTGTATTCAAAATCCACATTAGTATACCACCTCTTCTGTTACTTCCCCTCGGCTCCCAAAGAATGATCAGTTGAGAATCTGAGCTCGCGTTACACATCACATCCCTGTTTAAACCTGTAAACCGCATTCAAAGCTTACAATTTATTCGTAAAATTCGTACCATAGATCTGAATCAACGCTATTCAACCTTTCACGCGACACTTACAAATATTTATTAAATAAAAAAATACTATTGAAATCACTCAAGCACGAGCACTTTACACATGGTATATTAAACAATTTTGAATTACTCAGGAAGTTCGTTTTATGTCCAACTCACCACCGAAGCATTTGATCCAGAAACTACTTACATTAAAAGAATCTAACAACGGTACCAAGGACACTTCGACGACCATCGATAACCTCTCCGCCTGCACGTCGCTTCCACAAATTACCTGTCGCCTCTCACCACTGGCCACTGGCCACAAAATGAGCGAGCGTTGGGCAGTTGCGGAGCTCACTGGGCAGAGCATGGAGGCCGGACGCAGCGATTGGCCACCTCTTTTCCAGAGAGTAAACTCAAGAGACTGCGAACTGCGAAGATAATCGCAACAAGAAAGCGCAATTTAGAAATGGATGGTTGGAAAGAAATATTAAATTGAATATTATTAAAAAGTGGAGCAGCCTATCTATTTGTTATCATAATATGTTTCTTATCGATTAAAACGATAAGAAGACTTTTTGTATTTGGCCTTAATGTTACAATACCCTTTCGTTCACTAAAATGAAGTATTGAACTACATTATTATTGGGAAGATTATACTTTCAGATCAAACATAATATTTATACATACGTAGATGTGCTACTGTAGTTAAGTATGCAGTTTGAATTTCTATCAGACGATGATCAAATGTTGAAATTTTTATGACGTTTTCGCATTAAAAAACTACTTTCGTACAAACATTTCTAATGTGTTCCAGATGTTATATTTAAATAATACATTTTAACATTACTACGGGTTTATATAATGGGATACCCTTCAGAGGTGGATGTCTAATTTATACACTCGTGTAATTTTCGAATGACATTATTCCAATTTCTACAAAAATATTTTAAAAGGGCGCTATTTTTTCTTTAATTATATTCCTCGCGTAAAGTACATGACGCTTCAAAAATTGCTTAGGAATCGTTTTCGATGAACTTTCTGAATTTTCTAAAATTGTAAATCTAGGAAGAATGCAGGAGAGTATGTCCTGTTGTAATACTTCTAGTTTTAAATTTAAATATATTAATCACAATATCACTTACGTCATGCTATTTAGTGCAATACTATTTGCAGAAGAGGCATAAAGAAAAATTTGGAGCAATTTTTGAGATTATCATATTTATATACTTTTGGAAACTTGAGATGTTTTTATTCAAATATAAATTAAAACGACTTATATTTGAACACATCAATTGAAGATTCGATTTTGCTATAAATTCATAAAAGAAACCATGTTTATTTTGTTTCTTCATTTAGTAACACTAACAGTAATCATTTTCTATATAAATAATAAAATGTGGCGTCGCCGTCACAGCAAACTGTTTTAAAATAATTTCATGAGTTTAAAATTTCGTTCATACTTCATTTCTTTCATACCCAGCTTTGTTCACATAAATATTTTCAGTGTCTGGCATTGATCTTTCTAATGAATCGTAGCAGCTGATAATGTTATACTCCCGTTCAAAAGTTCCCAACACCCAATGGCCTTGTGTGTTACATACATACAGGATATGAACTGGTCTTCTTGCAATTTCAAAATTATCATTTCGATAACAAATACTTATATGTTTTTGATGCTAATAGTTAAATTTTAGTTCAGCTTTATTTTTACCCTTTTTTGCTAATACACACAAAAAAAGCACATTGCACAATTGCATTTGCACAAATGTTAAATGCAACAATGCAGATCATTCCCAATTAGTTCCGAAAATTCTATCGCAACACCTTTTCCAAATACATTTGATTATTCCCTGAATTTTCCTAAAACTTCCAAAAATTTTTCTCCCCTCATTTTTGAAGAGATTAAGACTTCACAAATTCCGCGTAATTTGTGTTCACTTCTACTTCAGCACTTGCTCTACTAACCATTTTGTATGCAAATCTAGCGTTGCATGTGAATCTAACATTAAAAAGTGGCTATTTTGTATGTTTATGTGAAAAATGTGTTAGTTAAGTTTAATAAGAATAAGTTGTGGGTGACATTCATTTGAAAAGCGGTATTTGCATACTTTGTAAGAACTAAAAAGTAGTCGAAGCATTACGTTCATTATTTTTCTAGCATTACTTACAGTTTTGGTTTTTTCGTATTCAGTTGAAATTCTTCACGTTTATTAAGTTCTGATGCAATGCTGTTCGTAGGTTTTCATAAATTTATTTTAAAGAATAGGATACTTCGAATCTAAATTGAAAGCAAACTTCAGCGAGCATTTCTTGGTAATTAAATTATGCACTATAAGATGTCAGCGTAAGTGTTGCCAACGTCGTGAAAGAAAAGTATGGTGTATTAAGCGAAAAATGTCTTTGGGTACTGGCATTCAATTAACGCTACCTACATAGATCGATTTAGGTGGTATTGGTTTAATTCCTGCACTTATCACTAAGATCGCAGCGCCAAAACACGAAAAAACACGTTTTTTGAATTTTTAAAAAATATTCTTACCGAGTCCCAAAACAAATTACCAGTTCTCCCTCAGAAGATCCAGACTCGTCGAATGACAACTCATACATATCGATTGGTGCACGGGAAGTGGTCTAACCGCAAGTGACGGAACCTCAAAAGCGCACATCCTCACATCAGGAGTTTTCGTCAAATACTCTATAGGGATATTTATTACCATGACTTTAATAAATTCTATACGTACTTTTAACTATTTTAATTAGTTTAGATTTTCTTTGGGATTGTTTAGACACAATCAATTTTGTGTAAGTTGTATATTCATTTTAATTCTACTAATATTCTCTTTGCATACCAAACAAAAATATTGATGTTTTCTTAAGCAATTTTGAAAATCAGTTTCATACATTTTAATTAAACGTACGTAAAGTTGACACTCAACATTGACAAAAAACAGGCATTTATCAAAATTGAAACCTGTTTCTAACAAATCGAATTCAATTTACATAAAGAAACGTTTGAAAGGGACAATAAATTGAAAAGAGGAGTCTTTATTAAATTACATTTTTAAAACCCTCGCCTGAGAATTTATCTTTGGAAAGCTGGGGTTGACTCTCATCTCGATAACTAAATCCAGTTCTTCTGAAAGAGAGAGAGCGTGTCTGGTTTTGTGTATTGATATCACGTAAAGCTGCCTTAATGGAATCGCTGCGAGTCGGGCTGTGCAAAGTATCACCTCGGTTGTTGTTCGCTAAGTGGGGAGCGTAATTCATCGGCGGCTCGGGAGGGGCGAAAGAAGCGCCGAGATTGCCCCGGGGCGGAGGGCCGAGGGCGGAGGCGAGGGCGGAGGCGAGGGCGCCCCGCTGTCGCCGCCCGTATTGCTCGATGAGTTAATCAGCGACGAAAGCCCCGGCCCCGCTCGCAGCCCCGCCCCGCCCGACCGCTCAGCTGGTATTGGCATGCCACTAACGGCCCCCCGCCTTCGTCCTTCATTGGCCCCATTGGACTCACGCCGCAATCGTCCCCAGCTGTTAATTCCTTTTTATGCTCTCCAACTCAAAAAAATGTTTCGTTTTGTTTGGATTGTCCTATTTAGTCCAGTCGACAAGTGCTTTCTAGCAAGACGGAAAAAGGGGTGTTACCTGGAACAATATCAAAAAAAACTTGTATGATAATTCAGGGAGGCCCTAAAAAGCGGTATTTTTCTAATTTTTAACTTTTTTCGATAGAGAAGAGTTATAGAACTCTTTAACCTGAAGCTGTGTAGAAAAATGATTTCAATGAATTATAAAGAATATAAAATTTCCTACAATTTTTGCACAATATATTTCTCTTTAATCAATTACCAAGCGACTTACACCTTGTCAAAAAATGCTATTTATTATTTCTTCAAAATGTCCAAAAATACACATGTTATGATATTATTAACATTTTATAATAAATATAATAATTATTATTTTATGAAATACTGGACTTTATCTCACCGTCGATGTAAAAATTGTCCCACAAATGTTCCCATTACCGTTTTTATATATTAATATATAAAAAAGTAGATGGATGTGTGTATGTGTTTTTCTGTTCCAGTTTAACTCTTCAAATACGAAGTTTCATTTGAGCTAAACTTGGTACACATTATTATTCGTGAATTAGAATGGGGAAAAGATTCTATACAGGTAACACACCTCTAGAGGAGTGGGTGGGACCGGTATACAAACAAAACTATTATATAACCCGCAATCCACATACCGCGTGTAATATACACTGAGCTGACACAGTGGCTCTGACAAGCAGGGTTATTTAATGGTTATTATATTATTCTGATATCTAAACACACCCAATTTTAAAGAGAATTAAATGTTACCTTTTAAAAGTTTTAAACGCTTTTTTATTTATTTTTTTAAAATTTTTTGAGACCGTCTCGGCGACTGGGGTCCGCTCTTTATCCTGCATTTTGTGTCTTCATTTTTAGCGTTTATACTCTTAGCTAACGTTGCTCTTTTGTTATTTCTTTCAGATCGTTTTCCAACTTCTTGGGGTACGACTCGTCAGCCTTAGCGACATTGGCTACCCAGGCAGGCTTAGCAAGTATTTACTTATTTCAGATTTATAGAAGTAATTTTTAAGCGTTATAGTATTGAGTTCGTTCATATACAATAATTTCTATTTACTTTGTTAATTTGACTGCTTCCCTGACATTTGTAGTTGCCCGTACAGTGTCGCATTTCGCCTCGATGTTTGGTGCTATAATATAATCTTGATCGAGAAAACAGTGATTAAAATTCCATAAGAATTTTGCAAAATGTGGGATTCTTCTGATAAAGAAAATATGTCCCAGATTTCAAAATCCATACAAAAAAATTGCCTTTTCATAGCTATTATAAAGATTGGAGCAATATTTGCAGATCTTGTCAGAAAATTCATGATAGTAAATGCTGCAATACACTGCTAATAAGTCTACTATTCGACATGAAGTTGTATGTATACTGTATGTTCGTAGTCTTCCGCGGACGGAGTCAATACATTCTTGGCTATCCAGATTGAGCCGTGTCTCTGTCAATTGTGCTGATGTTTCGGTCATCTTTCTGGAAGCAGGTAAAATATTTTTGCTGTTTTTTTTACAGATAATAGATGATCAACATGAGAACATTGGACGATCGCTGATACCAAGTACTTTCAAAGTCGGTGATAAGACGTAAGTTTTGCCTTGCCACAAATCCACCTACACATGATGCAGCCCGCTAAAACCCCATCAGGTCAAGTTTAGGAAGACAAAATATTCTTGAGGATTAGAGATGGAAGTCTATCACACGCGTGCCCGATTAAAATAATACGAAATGCGCTTTAGTATCCATACTTAAGATTTCATATAATCTAATAAAAGCTGAGGTATGTGGCTGCAGAAAATCTGGTGTGCAGTGCTCTTTTCTACGTAATCATAATTCGGAGCATTCATGTGGCAATTTCTCTGCAACTGACAAAGCTGGGAATAGTATTTTATTCTTCGATCAAAATTTCTCTCCAGACGATGTCATCAAAACCTTTTCTTTTCGTACGTTGTAGAAAAAAATTAATTTCATTTGGTTCTTGAATAAAAAAAAGATTTTTTCTTAATGTATTACATTATTTTATCTTCTTTAAAATAGATTGGAATCGTTCTTCAACAGGCCCTAAGGTTAAAGAGTTATAGAGGTAAAATCGAAAAATATCAGAAAATACTGATTTGGGGGCCTCCCGGTGTTAGCACAGGGTGTGCGATATCGAAAATTTAGATTTTTTATTAGTTCCTGGGTATACGCAACATACCCAAAGAAAACGTTTTTTATGGCCATTCTCTGGGTAAACGTAAATGCCGATTGAAGTATTCTATTTTTAAAAATTTACTGGGAATGTTCATGTTAAGAGAAAGTTGATAAAATTTGCTGATGATTAACGTTGCACAAGTACGAACGCAATTTTAGCGGTACTGTCATCTCTTCAACCTCAAATGCGACTGTTTCTGTAACTGCGTTCAATGAATTCTCGCGCTCCATTCCACGCACACGATTTTCTCTTTCCAGCTCATCATGGCCGTCTATAGGAACGGCATTACGGGTGGGTTTATTCAATCCACCACATCCACCCCTCACAGTTTCTGTCTTTTCCCGGTCGCCTCCACTGAACGGTCCTATTTCCATATCACAGTTCCTCCATCTCGCGCACTTCAATTTCTTCGGCCCGACGCTGTCCGCGAGCGGCTCCCGCGTCGCCGCCTCCGCCTCCGCCTCCGCCGCGTGCGAGAGCGGCCGTCGCGGATAATGGAAATTTATCGGCGTCCCGTCCCCGATCTGATGGCGGCTCTGGGGTGGGGGTGGTGCGAGGAGGGCACGCGACAGGCCAGGGGCGGCGGCACTCTTCCTAATTGAAAGAGCGCGGGCGGCGGCTGTTATCTGAGAGGCCGCAGGCGACGAGCAACAGTGTCGAAGGGGGCGGGGCCCTGCGGTTAGGCGCCGGCGCGCTCTCAAGCTGTTTACGCCGCGTCCGTTTGCGGAGGATTTGCGCTCCGGCAGGGTCACACGAGCAGCTTGCTGGGATTCCGCGAGATGGGCGTTGGGAGAAAAGGTGCAAAGGAAAATAACAGATAAAACGAGAGTGCTATCGGAACGGAGGAGGATATTGCGATGGATTTCGATTTCATATCTTTTAGTGTCCACATCCATATGTATGCTGGAAGCACTAATACCAAAGATTTGATCCGAAATTTATTGCTTTGTACTTTTGTGTCGGTGGTGCAGGGCCTTCAGGCAGCGGTCACGTACGCGCAACCCAAGCCTTTGGGTTCGCGTCCGGGGAAAGGCATTGGAGTTTTCAACATGAGATACAGAACTAGTGGATGTTTACACCACGTGCATTATCTCAGACACATTTTGATATTGTTCGTCACCCTATTCACAATCAGCCTTTGGAAGGCAACGAGATGATCACCAACGTAGGAAAGTAGCACATACACGGCGAAGACTTCATCCTGCCTGCCAGCATGGAGCTCCGCTCATCATCATTATCATTTCAAAATGAACATTTCTTAAGGAAGGGTAGTCGTGTAGCAGTTTCATTTGCGCTATATTTCAAATTTATAAGAAGTCAAAAACAAACAAGATCTGAACATCATTTGACCAATTTTCTCTGGTAATAACACAAGAGAAGAAAGCTTTTTATTTTTATTCGCGTAAACAGTAAAAGGAAGTTCAATCGTCGTATTTCCGAATTTTATTCGTATTCCTTATAAAACATGATTTTCAAAACTATGCGCTGAAAAATAACTGTAAAAAAATTAAATTAATTAATAAAATTTAAAAAATTCTATCGAATACGAATAATGAAATCAAGAAAATAACTGAATAAAAAATATACATTTATTGTCATATTTAGAAGATAAAGAATACAATCATCCATTACACGCGTAATAATGTGAGCATTAACGTGAAGGCCCGATCCGCCCCTTCTGAACACAAAGCACACATTGTTCGGGGCGAGAGGAGAGGCCGCCCCCACATACGCATTCATTCGCGCGAACTCCGCCGTGGAGCGCTGCCGGGCCAGCAGGGGCCGGGAGGGGCCCGGGAGGGGCCGGGGCAGCGGATCGTAAGCTGGCGCCGCGCCTTGTAAATAAAGCGCTCCTGTTTTTGACTTATTAGCGGCGGAAACCGGAAGTGACGCGTGTTGCCGCCGGTGTCGCTGGCGCAGCACTTCAATGGCGGCGCGGCTCTCGGAAGTATTATCGCCATCAATTGTACGTGAAGAATAGAATGAAAGCCGGGCCGCGGGCGCTTTTGTGTGTTGTGCTCGGCTCACCAGGCGCCTGGCCATTAATTCAGGTGCGCGCCGCCCCGCCCCGCCCGGCCGCGCCGCGCCGCGCCGCCCACCAAGGAGCAATTGGATTGTGTAATGTCCACAAATTAGGATTATGCGCGAGCGGACGTGTGTGCCCGGCGGGCCCTGCGCGGTGGCAGGGTTCCTGCCCCCAACAAACAAATCCGCCAAAAATATGGGATGTTAAGGCAACGGCGGTGTGTGGGGACACGCTGCGCGATGTACAGGGTGCCACGACAAGTGATGAAACAGGATTTCGAGAGGGCATGAAGACTCGCGATGAGTTTGACCATAGAATACACACACACAAATCTCGATGTAATTTTTTTTCTCTTCGCATACGGAAACAGAAAATATCGTAGCTTCCATGCGCAATAGCAGCTTCGAGTATTATGGAAAACAAGTGAACTTTAGGAAAAATACTTTACGGTAATATGAGTAAAATGTATCCTCCTATCAACTACAAATCATACATGAGTATGAAAAGTACTCTACAAATATTTCAGTTAAAGATTCGCTGTATATCTTCTCTATAAAAACTGAGCACCAAGTCACGTATAAATTACTGCAATCTGTTCAAAACACATTTTTTTCGCCAATCACTTCAACCACCGTTATTCAAGAGCATTAGTGAATAAATCATGAATTTTCAATACTTCCAAATCACCGAATTTTATCAACACTAGTTCTATCACACTATTCAAAACAACAATTTGAACCTTCCTTTGTCATTTTAATCTTTGATATATTCATCAATTTAAAAATAAGTAACAATTCATACTTTTCTCAAGAACATTCCCCCTCTCCATAAATACTTTAACTATATACCTATTAACAACAAAAATGTTCTCCCAAATAAAATCAGTCTCTTAAGACAAATAAACATATAGAAGTAAATAAATAAATAAATAAATAAATAAATAAATAAATAAATAAATAAATAAATAAATAAATGAAGAAATAAATAAAAAGTAGTATTAGCCGTTATACAGAGGTCACACTTACCTAAGCAATTATTTAGAACAAATATCAACCGTAATATTTGAACTGTATCCAAATCAACTTCATTAAACGCTTAATTAGTTAAACAGGGGGAAAACACATTTTTGGGCAGCCTCTAGCTATTCTTTCAAGGCATGCGTAGCGTAAAAAGAGTTCAATTTTTAGCGCAAATGCTATAAGTGAGACGTTGTTCAAGTGTTGAGATAAATCTGTGAAAGCAACGAACACGAAACAAGAAAAAAAAATAATTTCATCTGATCACATCAGCTACTACTAACCTGAATGAATTATGAAGGGATTTGTATACTTGAATCACAAAATTAAAAGCAGAGAGGCTGTCTAAAAATTAGTGTATTACACACATAGTATCATGTCGGTCTCATGTAGCAATCTTTCCTACTCTCAAATTAAAATGCTACTGTTACAACTATTCGAGTGGTAAATTTTTCGTAGGTATTCGAAAATAGGATGAAATCTTCATACGAAATGGCATTTCAATTAAGTAATTTCAAATGAGTACCTTTTATAGTTATTTAATAAATAAGCGAAAGAAAATTAATACATAATATTATTTTCTCTTAATTATTCTTAAATTTGACGTGCTGCCATTCATTGCAGAATTCAAATTCTGAATAGATTCGCAGCTCCCTATTTTTGAAATTAAATATGAAATGTCTCCCAAAGAATATGCCTTTCAATTATCCCGTAAGAAATAGCAGTACATAGGAAAGAAACAGGAAATTAAGATAAAAATAAAATCCATTTTTGTTAGATTTATCAGTCGAAAAAGTTTACGTAAAATAATTTATTTATATCGAAAGTTATATGCCGAAATCACTCAATTTCCATTCCATTTTGGAAGTGAGAAGAATTCTAACAGATTTAAAGAAAATTCAATTCAAATTTAATGACACCTTATTTTACGTGGTGAGACTCTGACAAATTTCTCTACGTTCCTTTCACCTTCTAGCGGAAAAAGAAGGCATCAAAATAGGCAATTTAAATTTAGCTGAAATTCTTCTTTAGACGAGAAGCTTTTTGCATGCAGTAAATCTACAACATGGGACTTCCGGCATACTACCCTTCCGAAGGACGGCGAACGGACGATTTTTAGCCCCTAAAAATTCAGAGCTCGGATGAACCCACAAATTTGCATAATCAGCCGTCATCATACGTCAACCGTCAATCACCGAAACCGATTTCGTCACTGACGGCAAAATCACGGTAGGCCGTTGCCTTCGACTGGCTGTGCATCGCGCGCACCCTGTACGCGTCGGTCCGCGTGTGTGTGGACAGGTAGGCGGCGGGCGCGGGGCGCGGAGCGGGGCGTGGGAGGGGGCGAGGCAGGAACCGCCGCCGCCGCGCCGCCAGCCGCTCCAGCGATATTTCACGCGCACGCCGCCGCCTCCGCTGCCGCCCCCGCCGCCGCCTCCGCCGCCGCCGCGCCTTTCCAAATGAAGATTGTTATCAATTCGTCCAATCTTGTTAATGTGCCATTAATTTGTGGAAAACAGAACGCGGTTTTTGTCCGCGCCCCGTGAAAGGCTTGTACATATTTTAATCCCGCGTTTTGACGTGGCCACAAAGCGCAGTGAGCAAATTCTGCGCCCGTCCGTCGCCGCCGCGAGCGTAAGCTCTGCGTGAAATGTGGGCGTGGCCGCGCAGCGCCGTCGCGATGATTCAGCGCCCCTCGACGGCGACAGCGCGACACTCCGCCTCTCCCCGCCACGCCTCCTTCACGCCACGTGACATCGCTCGTCTCAGGGTGGAAGTGTCACAACGGTTTTACTTTTACAGTTATTGCTGTTTACGTAGACAACAAATGGAGGGTTTCTCACAAGAACCAAACAACTCCAAAATTCTGTATTTTGAGGACTTCTCCAAGTTATTCCCTACAACTGGCGCTGTCTGCTGGGACATTTCCTTTCGGCAAGTGCTAAACACATTGAAAGATACAGAGCAGGGGAGAATCATAAATTCATTACTATGCACGAATGCGCTATGAAATTTTAGGTGTCTCCTGAAAACTCTCGAATTTGGACTAGTTTGGTTCTTGTAAAAAACCCTACAAATGTTTTCCGCTGCTATTCATTCTCTATCAGTTTTCAGTTACGAAGGTTCGTTACATAAGGTTATCATTTGCTTATATAAATATATATTTGCAAATAAATTTATTTTCAAATGAAGACACAGACCACATTTGTTCCTTAATGATTAATTAGCTAGCTTTTAGATTAATTAGATTTGTATTATCGTATAAATTATTGCATCAAGCTATTTCTATTCCTGAATCGTATAGAGCCAAATTAACTAAATCTTTACTGCA